AAAAAAAAAAAAAAAAAAAAAAACTATCGCCTATAACTCTTTTGCCGGTCCCATACAAAATTGTGGCTAAAGCATGGGCAAACAGACTGCGACCGACCTTGCCACACCTAATACACCCCGATCAGTCTGGTTTCATGCCATACCGAAACATTATGCCGGTCAACGAGACAATCCGTTACGCGTGACAACGAAAGGCCGATGCAGCCATCCTCTTTATCGATTTTGAAAAGGCGTACGACCATGTTGACTGGAATTTTCTGGACCTATCTTTGAATAAAATGCAATTTGGCCCACATTTCTGTAAATGGGTCAGCATTTTCCATAGAACAGCTAGCACTAATATTATGCTCACCGGTCATCTCGTGGCCCCGTTTCGTCTTCAGTTGTCCGTGAGACAAGGGCACCTCATTGACCCCATGCTATTTGTCCTTGTCATGGAGGCCCTAGCGACGATGATAAGAGCAAACCCGCAGATCCAAAAGATCTGTGTGCTTGAGATCCCTGAGCACCTTATCCCCACAACCTCCCTCTTCGCTGATGATCTCACAATCTTGTTTAGGGCCAATGCGCAAAGCTTTCAAGCACTGATACATACCATTAGCCTCTTCGAGATAGCGACGAACGTGAAGGTAAATTGGGGAACCAAAACAGAAGGCTGGTGGCTCCACTGTCATGATGTTTAACCCCCGTTAGATCCTCCTGTGGTGTGGAGACAAAAGAACACAGCCATCCGAGTATTGGGAATCAACCTCATGGCTTTTGGCCCACCGCCAAACCATAGGGATTCGGTGGTGGACCTCACCACACAATGGATGGCACGGTGGGAATCCAAACCGGCTTCCTTGGTCGGTCGGGCTCTTGCAATCAACAATTTCATCTTTGCCTCCATATGGTACAAAGTGGCTTTCTGGCCGCTGACTGATAAACAGCTCACCAAGCTGAGACAGGTGGTTGTCGCCTATCTGTTGAAAAATTATCACAGTGACACCCGCTGCATAAAGCGCCTACCCTGGGAGGTACTTGTTCTACCAAGGGGTAGAGGGCGGCTCAGTACTATCGACCCGGGCAAGGAGATCAGAGTGCTGCAGATAGTTCCTCATTAGACTGCTCCTGGGTAAGGACATCCCATGGGCTCCGTATGCACTAATCCAGATTGCCTGCCTCGCCCCGGCTTCGCCCCTGGATCGTCTAGTGCACCCTCTCTACTGGTTGACCACCTCAGTGTGGACCATTCCTGCTTGCCCCCGGGTGGACTCGGACCGCTCGCCAACAGGCCACGCAAGATGTGACCTACGTACAGATCCCGTGTGGCCAGCGATGCTGTTCTTATGGAGGGACCATGGACCGAAAAGGACACCTGTACCACTCAGATGACACAAAATTAGAATGCAACCCTTATTTGGCCACCCCCAACTACTGGACCACACAGGGTCCCCCTTCTCCCTAAACCTTAAGTCTAAATGGTTGTGGTGGGCCAAGAAGGGAATTTCTACAGTTGGGGACCTGTGGAATGACAGCGCAACAGCCTGGCACTCATATGAAACAATCCAGCTCAAGACGGGCCCGCTTCCCAACCTGGAGCAAAATTTGACAAAAATTCAAGAAGCGGTCCCTTTGGCGTGGGTGCTTGCCTTGCGAGAAGGCCCCAAGATGATTAAAGGTGACTGGGTGGTGCGTACTGAAACGCTGCACTCACCCACGACTGTCTATAAGGTGGACCAGG